GATGTTCTACAGAGCCTTGCTCATAGTAAATGCTCAAAAGTTACTTGTTGAATAAAGGATGAAAGGATCAGTTTGGGTTGGAAAACATAGGATGTCTATAGACAAAATGTAGAAAAGGGTAGAAACAAGTAGATAAACATTTCAAGCTAAAAACACTATACTTCTCTCCTGGGGAGGAAAAAAAGATGGGTACTTGTCTGTTAAAAGTCTGATTGGGATAAATCTTTCCATTTTAGCTAAATTAAAATCTGATAACTTCTCTTTTCTAGTGTACAAACAGAAAATTTAGGTAGTGTAGCACATAGTTATTTGTTATTTGGGATAAATGAAATGATAGCCAACTCTATGCATCTATATATATTATCCTTGACAAATTTTGATCTTGGGCCAACTTATTTTCATATGAAATAAAATGCAAGATGACGCTGAAGCTTGGACGTGGTTAGAGAGCACAAACACAGTGAGAAAATTCCAGACTCAAATCTAGAATTATTTTTTGGCTGCTTTGGACTACCTACACTACTCTTTGATATATACAAGCATATTAGTACAGCTAATTGAGAGCCAGCTGTTTGATAGTATTATTAGCAATATTCCTTTTATTTAAACCACATTAGACCCAGCATATATATATATATCTCCCAAAGAAATGGATGCATATTTCAACGAAAGAGACTTGTATGAGAATATTCATGGCTGGCCCATTCATAACAACTCCAAACCGGAAACAACCCAAATGCTCATCAACAGGACAGGAGATGTAAGGTACATATTCATGTAACAGAACGTGACTCAGCATTTAAAAGGAATTACTGATATGAGCAATAACATGGCTGAATCTCACAGACATTATGTTGAACAAAAGAATTCATATTCTATGGTTCCATTTAAGTGAAATTCAAGAAGAGGCAAAACTAATATATGATCCTTAGCTAGAAATCTGAACTGTGATTGTCTCAGGACAGGGATATGGATGGAGCAGTGATTGGAAAGGACCATGAGGCAACTTTTTGGGGTGCAGGAAGTGTCCTGTATCTTGATTTGGGTGATTTCAATCCAGGTACATAGATTTGTCAAAATGCATTGAACGAACACTTGAGATCAGTGCCTTTTACTACAGATAAATTATACCTCAATAAAGATGAAGGTCAAAAATGCAAACCAATAATCTGCATTCTCAAGAAAGTACTTTAAAGGCATAAGAAATAAAATGTACTTTGGTTCTTCCAATGTGTTTGACATTAAAATTGGAAAAAAATAAAAATGACCACTGATATACATAATCAGTTATATATGAATTAACTGCCCCTAAATTATAACAAACCTGGTATGTGGTTAATCAACATGTCTACCTGTGAGTCCAATGGTGAAATCCAAAGCTCTATAGAAGCAGGGATTTTGTCATGTTTACATTTATGTCCTGAGCATCTAGTTCACTGCTTGAACTGACTCCTACCTTGAAGTATTTGAATAACTTTGAAGAAGCCTTAACTTCTTCAGGTCTCAGTTCCTTCATCAGTATAATGGAACTAATATCTGACTTCCCTAAGTGTGTACTACAAATAACATAATAGAACAAAAATACTTTTGAAGTAGTTAAAAGTCTAACTCAATCCAAATGAAAAGTCATTTTAATATTTTTAGCAGGCAGCTTTATGTTTCAGTTTTTCCTTTATCCTGTAAACTGACCTAGATAAGATAATGACTCCAGAACTCTGGCCCACAGAGACTTATGTAGTCAAGCTTTCAAGACTTAGTTCAAGGAGTAAATCACCTACAGAGACTTTCTAGCCTCCCCTGTCCCCACCACACCTTTTGGTGCCATAAAGGCAGGAATTGGTTTTATTAATCTTTTTATCTCCAGTGTCTAGAACAGTAGTCCTCTCAGGGTAGATGTTTAATATTCTTAAAATAAACAAATGGACCTCAATTTATTCAAATAGTCCAATAATAGAGTGATTTGATTTTCCAGGGAACATAGAATGTGTGCTGCGTATCTATATGTGTAAGTTTTATTTATATCCTACATGGTGGAGAATATATCCTACATGGAGGAGAATATTCATCCTCATAGAGATGAAGTAGTTACTTGCTCCAAGTTCATCCTCATAGAGATTAAGTAGTTACTTGCTCCAAGTCGCTCAGCTAAAAGGAAGCTGATGTGGAATTCATTCCCACATCTGTCTCCTCCCAATGGTCAGAAGCATCCCGTCATACTGCCATATTACTAAAGTTGCTTTTATAACATGCATTACATTTCAGATCTATCCTCAGTAAAGCCCAACTGATACAAAATAATCTTCCTAAAGAAGGAAAGAGTCTCCCTTTGATAATTAAGCTTTCATTGCTGGCTAGAGTACCAGGATAGAAATGAAAAGATTTAGATTACAGGGTCAGGCAAGTCTCTTTGGAACTTTGTGACCTGGGGCAAATCATTGGAGCTCTCTGTGCCTTCATTTTCTTATCTTTAATTAAAGAGAATATGATCTACTCTGTTTTATCTCACAGGGTAGAGAGAATCATAAAACAATATGTGAAAGTGTTCTATGAAATATAAAGTGCCATAAAATGTTCAAGAAAACAGACATATCAGGAATCACTGCACTGTGGGAGATTGGGTTGAAGTCAAACAGACAGTATTGAATCGCTTCTTTTGAATTTTTGAATCTACACGTGTATATTATACACATGTATTTACATATATGCTCTTTTATTATAAATCTTTCTAAAGTGAAGATAACTTTTGGGTAATTTATGGGGTCTTTTGAGTTAAGGATTTTTCTACTAGTTCCAACCAAGGAGACCCAATGAATTGGTTCACCAGCCTGAAATGAGAGGCCTTGTAACCATGTGGCCTACTCATTTAAGCAGATGGAATAAAACGTTCAGTGTTAATTAAAATCTTCAAAGGGTCTTCAAAGGGTAGCAGTAAATACTATGTATTTCCCTTATTTAAAATACTAGCAGATGAAGAGTTCTTTTTTTTTCTCCTTAATGAATATAGGAATCCCATCTGTTATCTTTATAAAAACGTAACGTGAAATGCAGAGAAAAAACAGAAATTAAAAGATTGTGTCCTTCTCTTTCTTTCACAGGAAGCCACTCTTTTTTGGAAACAGACAATGCTGTTTTGTCCCCACCTGATCAAATCTCCCTTCAAAGCCATGGGAAACTATTGGTCAATTAGTGACCACGTGATTCCTAGCCGCCTCTATTTCAAAAACAGTGATAGATACTACAGATTATCTCACTCAACACCCAACCAACCCCTTACTAGTTAGTCTTCCTGTACCAGAGAGGCTGGAAAGTTTGGACCTATGTTTCAAAGGGAGGAGATGTTCAAAATAACAAGTCAAATATTTGACTGTGGTTAAAAATGTCTCTTCCAGTTTTATAGTTCTTGGATTCTGTCAAAATCTCTCTCACAATGCTTAACACTCAAATACCAAGAACTTGTTTATTTCTCTTACCCCCCCTCCCCCCGCCGCCCTGCTGTCACTGTGATGACCCCACCCCTCCAATGTCATGTGTGTCATGGGTGTACTCTTTTTTATTGGTTACAAAGAAAGGTTTTGGGAGGGAAATGAAACCAGGGGGCCAAAAGTGAAATGGATCAGAAAAAAGAAGTGGATGATGAAAGGAGACTAATGAGCGCAGAAGGAAGAGTACTGAGTTGATTAAAGTAGGAGTTGGAAGTGAATAGATTACAAAGCTGGATTGAGCTCAGTTCCTAGAAAAGAAACTATCTAGAGACTTGAGGACATGAGGACCAGGTGAGCATCCAACCTAAGGTTCTGGAGAAGGACTGGGAAGACAGCTAGAGCCTGCCACCCAGGAGAATGTGCCGGCAGAAAGTCTGTTTTCCCTTCACCCTCAAGCTCAGAATGATTGCTCAAGGACAGAAAAGCACAATGGGCTAAAAATAATCACGCTTTCATCTAACAGTGCTGACCTGAACCTGTAACGTGCTGCCCCGTTGGCAGTAGGATACCTTGGAATTTCTCACCTGTACAAAAGTGGTTCCTTGCACTCTAAATAATTTGGCTGAGGGTGATCTTTCTGATGAGTCATTACAAAGGCAGGGTTCTGATGGGGCTTAGGGGGCAGCACTGTGTACCCAGGTCATCCGGTCACACAGATCAGGCAGTGAGAAGGTCAGCGACTAACAAAGGGAGCCGACTGTCCATCATTTGCTCTTCTTTACCTGATCACTTCTGCTGTCTCCAGCAACGGTCCCTTTGGTCCAGAGGTCCCCACGTTTCTGCCTGCTCAGCCTCGTGTTATTTAAGGTGAAAGGGACCTAGTTTCAACTCATGTTCCTAAGCTGTTGGTGTTTGCTGACTAATGTTTCGAGTTAGTGCAAGAGGCACCATTCCTCAGCTACGCTAATGATACAGTTCTACTCACTGAATCACAAATCTGCAGAACTGGGTCCCTAGCCCAGCTTGCCTTCACCAAAGCAGGTGATTAGCAGGAAACTGAAAAACACACACCCTGCTTTAAGTTTCTTCCTCTAGGCTGGCTTTGAGGCGTTCCCGCCACCCCCCCCTCCACAGTTCCCTATCACGGCTCAAGCTGCCAAGGAAGTGACTGACAGAGGGGCAGCCCGGGGCACCCCTTTCTTGGCGGCATCTCCCTCCACGGAAGCATCCTTCCTTCTGCAGCAGATGCTGCAGGGAAATGGACTCCTAAAGTTTAGCATAAGGCATTCTCTGACGCAAAACGCCTCTTTGCTTCCTCTGCCCTATATTCTCTTACCTCCCAAGTCTACCAGCATCTAACATCAAGCAGTCCCATAACCCAGAAAAAAAGTGTGTGCCACATATCAAACTAGCCTATCAGAAAGGTCAGATTCTACTTCCCTGGACCTTTAGGAGTAGTCAGTTGTTTTCCACAGGTGGCTGAATCCTTGTGAAAATTACTTTGGTCCTTGCCCACCAAATAACATACCGATTCACCCCCCCGCCCCACCCCAGATAAAATTAGTTTTTGTAGTGAGAAGGATAAAACATACAAAGGGCTTTTTTTGATTTATATTGACAGCCCAGCTTTCTTCACCTCCAACACTTGCCTTTCATCCTGTTTGCCAAGGGGCGTTCCTTGCTTCATTCAGGTATGGCTTTAAGTCCCATTTCATCTTAGAATTCCTCACAGACTATAAAAAAAGGTGGGGGGGGAGTGATATTACTGAATGCTTAAATAAGACAAATTCCATGAATCTCTGCAACTCAGGGCTGTGGGAACACACTCACTCCACGTTAAATTCATAATGTAAATGTTGATATTCATGTCATGTTTGTCAGAGTTTCCTTAATTTATACCAGGTTTCTAGAAAGCAGAGATAGATAGGGCAGGGTAACAAGATGTAATTCAATTTAATGAATACTTGTCAAGGGCTATATGCACAGTAACATCTTTGCATAGAATCATGTAAGAATTATTATAGCTAATAAGTGCTCTTTGATGAGAATCATTTTATATTATATTGAGAGACCTTTAATTTTTGTTACGGGAGTTTTTGAAAAGAGAGGAAAAAGTAATCACTGTTCTCCCATCACAAATCAGGATTTTATTGAAATTTCAAATGACTACATTTCAAAGAACTTCTAGACACTCTTCAAGTTCTTTTTTTTTTTAACATTGGAAAACAACATAATGGAAGAAAGCATTCTCCTTGTGGAATGGCGTATTTCATGCTAACATTCCTTTTTTAAGTTTCAAGAAATTAAAGTGAACAACCAAGTAAAACCCATGCAAATGATTATTCCAAGTCCTGTCCATACCGTAAACAGTCAGTTCTAAAGAGAGAAATTTGAGATGACTGGAAACATGCTGTTTGTTCTTAATCTATCAATCTCAGTCATGAATGTGATCAGTTAGCACATCACGGTGGGAGGTTATTTTCTAATAAAATGGGCCAACATAAAGAAACAATCTGCTTGGAATGATGTATCTTTAAGTTCCAAAGTAGTATAAGAAATCTCTGGGACAACCTCTCCCTAAGAGGGGAAAAGCTGTGGTGATCGAGGCTTTGGTACTTCTTCTGCTTTTTCAAAACAAAACTTGACCTTGAGACAGACTTCAAAAGTAGCATGAAGTCATTGCTTACAACCATCTCTTAAAATGTCACAATTCATTGCACTTGACTCGGGTCTCGGGGAGTCAGTGATAAGGACAGCCAGGGTAAGAGTATAACCCCGTCCCTGTCCTCCTGTGGCTCAGAGACAGAGCACGTGGCGGCCTCCAAATGTAGTTTGAGCCATGCTGAGCAAAATCACTGCTACAAAGTAATTCTCCCTGGTATCAGAGAACCTGCTGTGGGATGGACTTTAGAATTTGGTTCTGCTTCTAAGTACAATACCTATATGACTTTAGTAACAACAACATGGCAATAATAACAGCAGCTACCACTGAATTCTACTATATATCAGGCACTTTAGTTATAATTATACTTATTCACCTCTTTAACCCTCACAACTCTTAGAGATACACAGTAGTACTGTCCCCATTTTACAGGTGAAGGATATGAGGGACAGGGAGACCAGGAAATTTGTCTAACATCACAAAGGGCAGTGAATTGTGTAGTCTCTGAGTATTAGTTTCTTTTTTCATAAAGTGGGGATCATTTTACTTATATTGCAGGGCTACTGTGAGGGTTAAAGAAATAATAAAGGTAAAGAATCTGGCACATGGTAGATGCCCATTATAGAGAGATATTAATAATTCCTTTACATTAAAAACCCTTCTCCTCCTGACATGAATCCATAATGACTCATTTTATTTAGAGGTTGCTTATCTACCAAACCTCCAAGCCAACCAGAACCAGGAAAGAAGCACAAAGCAATCAGAATAGTCTAATCAAAACAAGCAGTCAAACAACCCTCTTGCCCATTATCCTGACAGAGCCCCCAGGAGCCTTGCTGAGAGCCTATTTACTCCAAGGGAGCCCTGGTTTTAGGGGGCTTGGCTATAAGGCTTCCCAGCTCACAGATGATTAGAAATGCAAATTAACAGGGGAAGGGTCTGCTAGGAGCAAGACTTGACAGCTGACAGTCTAGCTGCAGTAGGAGAAACGGAACCCCCTTAAGAGCCAGACAGGAGATCTCAAAATGCAGATCAGCCTGGACCCTCTGAGGAGGGCAGAGTCCTTAATAATAGATTACTAGCCCTCTCAGAAGCCTATCCTGGCACCTCATCAACCGTTTTGTCAGTTGCTGCTATTCCTCTGTGTCCCCTCTATGCCCTATCCATGCCCTGTTCACATCCCTCATACAGTCTCTTTTGCTCTGGGCTGTAGCAATTTGTCTTCAGTATCCTCATCCTAATTTGACCTTAAGCTCTTGCAATGGCAAGAGCACTACTACTGCATTCATCTTTGTATCTCTGAGCCCCTCACATAATGATGGATGCTCTATATATGCTTGTTGAATGAATGATTATTGATTCAAGATACCACATGAGAAAGAGACAAGAATTTGAATTCACGTTTTCAAAGATAGGAAACAATGTAAAGGAGGTTGAGAAACTTTCTATTCAAAGCCATTACAGGAAATTTTCCGCCTAAAGTAAGCGTCAATAGCCTGGAAAATTTATGTTTATGTGAAGCACATCACTACCCAAGGGCTCTGGATAAAGGAGGCATTTCCCTGTCTACTGACCCACTGGTGAGAAGAGGAGAGGAACCACAAGAGGAGAGGGACCTGGGTCATAATGAGCACTTGGGAAGTTTAATGGAGAGGGAGAGAGTACAGGAGACAGATTATGAATACCAAAGATGAGTGGGATCCATGTCACAATTGTGCTGAGGCCCAGCCCTTGTTTTGTTCTTTTCCCAGAAAATGGAGTGGCATTTTAGAGGGAACTTGGAAAATTGATTGCAGTTACTATGGTAGGTGGCATCAGAGTTATCTGTTTGAAAGGATGAACATAAAGCAGGATAATGAAGCAAGACAATAATTTATCAGCTAAATCATGAGGCGTCTATGCTGTAGGGAAGGGCGCTTTTACAAAATATAGAGGAAAAGCCTTTGCCTGACAAAGGGGACTCGACCCTGAAAAGATTCAGCAAATAGAAAAACCATGGGTATTAAGACTGGTTGTTTGGCAGAACTGCTGGGAAGGGATAGTCAGAGAGGAAGCACGTAATGAATAGGCATCCTGGGGAGCTGGGGATGATAACTAGGAGTGGGGTTACGAACTGTAAATCCAGAGATAAGGCGGAGTGAGAAGACATACTGGGTTGGCTTGGGGTGATCTGTATTCACAGGGGACCAATGCCATTCAATGTAGAAACAGAGAAGCAGCAAGAACTCTGAGTACAAATACCCTTGGCACACAGGCCTGCACAAGCCCGTGGAGCAGGGGAATAGTTCCTGTGTGCCTAGGCGCAGAGGGGAGGTGATGAAGGGCTATAAAGGGCCACCAAGCTTTGCACAGCCTCACACTTCACGGGCACAGCAGCGAGACCTGTGCCCGTGTCATGATGATGAAACTAGGGAAACCCAGACCTCAGAATGGGTTCCTGAATGGCCTCTACTGAAAGTCAGGTGGGAAAGATAAACTTAAACACTAATAAAAGACTACCTGTAAAGGACCACCTGTATCAGATACAAGCCCCTCAGATGATGATTTAACACTAAATAAGGGCCCAGAATTCGATACAACCTCAGTGTAAGGGATTGTTCCAATCTCATGGTACAAGGGGAGCTTCGTTGATGGACTAAATTTCATAACTGGAAAAACACCCACCTTTTGTCACATCCTGATTGACCTTAACCTAAAACCCTCCATCAGGAACACCTCCCTGGGCTGGGAGCCAGAGCCCTGTTGCAGTCACTTTGCTCTGCTCTGCTTTTCAAGGTTGGAAATAACAACACTATCGACCTGTTGTAAATTTCAGAAACAACCTAAATCCAAACTTGAAAAGTCACCCTGTGTCCATCAAATTGTGTGTAATGAAGTTAATTGAAATGTGTTAAAGGTGAGGGTGGGCAAGGCCTGCAGCCTCAGGGCTGTTGATCTTTTGACAGAGCCCTGCCCCTCCTCCACAAAAGTTCCTGTGGCTTCCCATCAGAAGTCACTCCTCTGACAGTGCTGTGACAGTCCACAGTCAGAGAAAAGGTCAATTAAACCTGTGACAACTCCGCGCTGAAAGCACACAGAAGAGCATGCCCCACACTCGCATCCCTCCCACTTCCATAATCATGAATTTCATTCTGTTGTCCAGGCAGATGTCTGGGAATGTAATACAGAGAATTTAAATAAGCTGAAGGCTTCTGGTTCAGCCCATTTTCTCTTCTTTTACAAATTTGGTTTCTGCTGCTGTTCATTCACATTTCATACCCTTGACGGACTATCTTTAGTCTCCATATTTTATAGTTTTTAGAGGCATGAATTAAGTTTCACATGTAAAATGAAACCTGTGAAATTCCTCTTCTCCTTGGATGAAAGAACTCACCCGGCACCTGGAGCAATTTTGCAAATGTTGCCAGAAACAAGAATCAGGTTCCACCAGTGAATACAGGTTTATGCAGCCTAGAAATTGTACTGCAAATAACATTCTAGAGGTCAATTGAAATGTAGCTTCTTGCCTTCATTAAGTCTGGAATAAAACCAAACCAGAAAAGTTCTCATACCACTGTCCATTCTCTCAACTGAGAGGCCTTGTTACTAGACAAAAGAATGTATCAAAAAATGAAAATGAGAGAAAATAGTGCAGGTCAGAAGTAATTTTGTTTAACACTGTATTAGCCAGTTAAGGCTGCCGTAATGAAATATCATAGCTTGGGTGGCTTAAGCAACAGACATTTATTAATCACAGTTCTGGAGGCTGGAAATACAAGATCAGAGCACCACCATAGTGAGTTTCTAGTGAAGGCTCTCTCTTCTTGGCTTGCAGATGGCCGCCTTCTGCCTTCTTGCTTTGTCCTCACATGGCAAGGAGAGGCAGAGAGAGGGAGGGAGAGGGGGAGAGTGGAAGAGGGGGAGGAGGGGGCGGGGAGAGAGAGAGAGGGAGAGAGAGAGATCTTCCTCTTATAAAGCCACCAATCCTACGAGATTAGGGCTCCACCCTTATGATCTCAGTTAAATTTAATCACCTCATAAAGACTCTATCTCCAGATATGGTCACACTGGGGGTTCAACATATGAACTGAG